CTCTCTCTCTCTCTCTCTCTCTCTCTCTCTCTCTCTCTCTCTCCCCCTCTCCCCCTCTCTCTCCCTCTCTCTCCCTCCCTCCCTCCCTCTCCCTCCCTCCCTCCCTCTCTCCCCCTCCCTCTCCCTCTCTCTCCCTCCCCCTCTCCCCCTTTCTCTCTGTTGCTTTCTCCTTTCTCTCTGTCTGTCTCTTTCCACATGTCTCTGTCCCCACCCTTAGGCTCGTAGGCCCCTACCTGTTCCCCTACATGCTCTCAGCCCATTCCTACAGTCCTTTTTCTCTCTCTGTCTCCTCTCTCAAACTCTCTGACCCTCCTTCCTTTCTATTCCCAGTCTCTCTTTTTCACTCTCTTTTCTCATCTCTTTCTCTCCCTACTCACAGGACTCCACACCCCTTCTCTATCTCCCTCTCTTTGTCCTTCCTTCTTCCCTTCTGTCAGGCCCTCCCCCCCAGTCATTCTCCCTCTCTTTCCCTTTCTCTGTCTCTCTCCTGATTCTCTCTTGCCATCTTGGTCTCCACTCAGAGGCCCTAAGGCCTTTCTTTTTCTCTCCCTCACCCCCACTGGCCCCCAACCCATACCCTCAGGAACTGTCCTCTTTTCCAACATCTCTGTCCCCACTAACAGCTTTCAAGGTCCCTACCTTTCTCTCCTCTCTCTTTTTCTTTCTCTCTCCTCCCTTTTATCTCTCTTTTTGCTTTCTGTCTCTCTCTCTCCCTTTATATTTCTCTCTTCCTCTTTGTCTCTCCTGTCTCTCTCATATCTCTTCCATTCTCCTCTTTATCTCTGTCTCTTTTTTTCTCTATCTCTGTTTCTCTTTCTCTGTCTCTTTATTTCCTGTCTTTGTCTCTACTTACAGTCCTCTAGACTCTTCCCATACCCTCAGTCCTCTCCCTCTCTGTCCCCAGTCACAGGCCTACAGGCCCCTTCTTGTCTATCTCTTTTTCCCTCTTTCTCTCTCCTCCCTCAGGCCCTTGGGCCCTCTCCCCTCTTTCCATTTTTCACTTTCTTTTCTCTCTCCCTCCCCCCCCTTCTCCTTTCTCATTCTTTCTTTTTTCTTAGTCTTTCTCTTTCCACATCTCTGTCCTCACCCTCAGGCCCCTGCCTCTCTCTGTCCCCCCTGTAGGCTCTCAGCCCATTCACATAGGCTGTTCTCTCTCTCTCCCCAACTCTCTGTTCCTCTCTTTTCTACGCTCTCAAACCCCCTGGCCCTCCTATCTCTCTCTCTCTGTGTCTCTTTCTGTCTCTGTCTCTTTCTGTCTCTCCCCCCTTCTCTATGTTCCCATTCACAAGCCTCTAGTTCCCTTTTGCTCTCTCCCCATCCTTCTGTCCCTCCCTCTCTTTACCCCTCCCTCAGGCTCCCAGGCCTTCCTCCTTCTTTCTTTATCTTTTCCTTTCTTTTTCACTATCTCTTTTTTTCCTTTCTCTCTCTTTCCTCCTTTCTCCTTCTCCTTTCTCTCAGTCTCTCTCTTTCCACATCTCTATGTCCCCATCTTCAGGCCTTTAGGCCCCTAACTCTCTCTCCCTTTATAGGGTCCCAGCCCATTCACACAGGCCTTTCTCTCTTTCTCTCGCTCTCTGTCCCTCCTTTTGTCTTCTACTCTCTCAAACCCCTTGGTCCTCCTCCCTCTCTCTGTCTTTTTCTCTCTTTCTTTCCTCATCTCTCTCTCCCTACTCACAGGACCCCAGATCCCTTTTTCTCTTTCCCCATCTCTGTCCCTCCCTCTCTCCTTCCATCCTAAGTCTTCCTCCTTCCCTCCTTATTTCTTTGACTCTGTCTCTATCTCTTTCTCCTTTTCCCTCTCTGTTCCCACTCACAGGCCTCCAGGGCTTTCTCCCTATCTCTCTTTCCCTCCCTCTCACTCCATTCTCAGGCCCTCAGGTGGTCTTCGTCCTCCTTTTCCTTCTCTTTTTTCTTCTTCTCTCTCTTTGTCTCTGTCTACATCTCTTCTTTTATCTTCTCTCCTCCCTCTTTTTCCCTTTTTCCTCTCTTTTTCTCTTCCTTTTTCTCTCTCTCTGTCTGTCTCTTTCTGTTTCTATTTCTTTGTCTGTCTCTGTCTCTCTTTCTCTCCCCATCTCTCTTTGCTCATTCATAGGTCCCTAGGCCAGGGTGGGGAACCTGCTGCCTCAAGGCCACATGTGGCCATCTAGGTGTTCAAGTGTGGCCTTTTGACTGAGTCCAAGTTTTACAGAACAGATCCTTTTATTAAGGGGATTGTTTGGTGAAGTTTGAATTCAGTCAAAGGGCCACACTTGAGGACCTAGAGGGCTACATGTGGCCTCTAGGTTGCAGGTTCCTCATCCCTGCCCCAGGCCCTTGCTTCTCTTTTCTCAAGACCCTTCTTCTCTTTCCCCATGTTTCTGTCCCCCTTCACAGGCCCTCATGCCCTGAGCTTTCTCTCCTCTTCTCTCTCTCTTTCTCTGTCTTTCATCTCTATCTCTCTCCTCTCTCACTCTCCT